TCCCTTGGTCCTCGGCACGCCTGGGTCCGCGGCCGATGCCTGCTGCGAGGGCACCGTGGGGCGGGGGGCACGCAGCGCAGCAGGCGTTGGTCGAGTTTCATGCCTTGTTTGTTTGTATTTTTTCTTGGGGTTGGTCCAAGTGCCCTAAATAATTTAAATGTCTCGGGTAGGAGCGGTGGAGGCTTTCAATACGTTCGTAGTGTCTCAGCAATGTGGCTCAGCACTGGGCTGGTGTTTGATGTCCTACAGCGACAGGAGAACGGTGTGTGGCTGGCTGGGATGGGGAGGTGCCCTGATCCGAGGAGAGGTAGAAGGATATTGGGAGAGATGATTTTTAATTTTCTTCTTTTTTTCGGTTTTGCATCCTGGAGAGGTTGACCTGACCCAGATGCTGCTGCCTCGGGGCAGGGGCAGGCCTGTGCCCTGCTCTCTGGGCCTCGGGGGATCGCCGTCCCCCAGCAGCCCTGTGCTGCTGGGAACTGTTGCCAGAGAGCACGCAGAGGGTGAAGGAAGCATCCCGCAGTTTTCTGGGCACCTCCTGGGCTTTTTCCCCTCGAGAAGGGTAAAAGTGGGGAAAAAAAACAAAGGGAGCATGGAACAGGAGGAACAGCCCCCGAGCAGGAGGAAATGGGGGGTTTTGTTGTCGCTCAGCCCATGCGGGAGCAGGGCTGGGGCAGCTGAGGAAGGACAGACAGGGACCATCTTCTCCCACATGTGGGAACGTGTCCTGTGGTGTGTCCTCCGCTTGACCTTGGGGGAAGTTTTGTTTTTCTGCCAAACCACCTGTCCCTGACCCCTCTGCCTCGGGCGCCGGCATGGCTCTGCTTGCTGGCCCTGAGCCCCGCTCCAGCAGCCCACCGTGCCCCGGCACAGTCCTGCCCGGGCAGGACCAGAGCGTGGCTCAGAGGGCTCTGGTGGGTTTGGGACCCACCGTCACCGTCCCACAGCATCAGGCCATGATGTTGGAGTATTGGGGATCACTGGAGAGGACTGGTGGCACTTGGGTCAGGCTGTCAGCAGGCACGTCCCTGTGGGGAATGCAAGGACCCAGCCCAGTGCCCACTGCTCCACGGGCATTGCTGGATGGGGTTGCAGGGGACACTGGTTTCTCCCCTGGGGTGCTTCTCCACCCCTCCGGCTGTGTCCCCCCTACCTCCACGGGCCAGGGAGGAGCAACAGGGCCAAGGCATTGCCCAGGAGGTGCCAAGCACAGTTCTTGCGTGGGGGATCCACTTTGCCGCCCATGCAGGGATGATCTACCCCCAGTGGGCCCCGATTGCCCCCCCCGGGAGCTGGGTGGGGGTCCCGTGGGGGCCTCGGTGTGCTGGGAGCTGGGTGGCAGCTGGCCGGAGACCTCCCAGGCTGTTGCAAGCAGGGATTGAACTGCTCTGCCTTGAACCTGTTCGACCTTA